GGGGGGGGGGGGTCACTGGCTTCCGGGCCACCAATGAAAACGCCCTTTGGGCAGGGCCTCGCGAACATATTGGTTGTCCTACCGGCGCGACTAGCGGTGATTGGACAGCCTGAAAAGAGACGATTGCGGCCTTAGCCTCCGAGTAACCGGTACGCGACTGTGGGTGGTCATGGCTGGTCAGGACATGCGGGAAGAGCTGGACTCGCTGCTTCTGCAGCTACTCAGGGACCTGGAGGAGCTGGAGGCGAAGCGGGTGGCGCTGAACACCCGGGTGGAGGAGGTGAGTGTCTAGGGGGTGGGGGAGGGAAGGAAGGTATACAGGCGTAAACTGAATGTCCACACTCTCCTATCTCTTTAGGGCTGGCTGTCGCTTGCCAAGGCTCGCTACGCCATGGGTTCCAAGTCCGTGGGGCCCCTGCAGTATGCCTCTCGCATGGAACCTCGGGTCTGCGTGCGAGCCAGGTGAGGAACCGGCAATACTGAAGTAGGTAGGTGGGGCCCAGGCTCAGGCCATCGATGGCCTGTTATCCCTTCTTGTCCTTCAGCGAGGACCAGGACAGACTCCAGACATTCAAGGTGGTGAGAGCTGACGCCCAGACTCCAGAGGACGTAGGGCCCCGAGAGGCAGGTGAGTTGCCTTAAAATTTGAAATGCATGCAATAGATGAACACTGGCTATTCAGGCTTTGGCAATAGAGAGAACTCCGCTGAGCTGAAGGTTGCCATAGGGTGGTTTTACTTTAGACCTATAGGGAGGGTGAGAGAAGTTATATGTGTGTGCCTTACATCTGGGATAGTTTTGCAATGAAAGGAAGTCTCAGTCAGCTGAACAGAAGATAAAATGTTTACCTCTGTGTCTGTCTGTTTTGGAGGAAAAAAACTTCTAATTCCAGTGAATCATTCCCAGGATAAAGAACAGGGGATTGGACAGTCTGTGTCAGATCTTCTGGCATGTTCAGGCAAAATGGGTAAGGTCAGTATGTGGCCTTGTTGTGGGAAAATGGCTCATCTGTGGGCTTTATGGGAGCCATGAGAATGGACAGCCTATCTGAATTATAAGGGTGGTGCTGTTTCAAGGAACATAGAATATTGGGAAGGGTTTTTCTGGCCATCTTAGTTACTTTTCTTGTTTTGAGGATACAAAACCCAACTCTAACAATTTAAGGAAGAAGAGATTTTGGCTGTCTTTACAACGTACAGTCAGCTGGCTCCAAGGGAGGATATCATGGCAGAGGGGTCTACCAGAGGACAGCTGCACACAACATGGTGGACAGGAAGCACAGAGGGTCAAGGAAGGTTCCAGGAAGGGTGATACAACCTTCTTGGTCCATAGGACCCACTTCTTCCTTTCAGAGCCCACCTCTTAACAGCAAGTCAGCTGTAATGCAGCCCCAAAATTCAATCACCTTCCAAAAACCCAACCTCTGAGCCCATGAGGCTCTTGGGGGACATGTAGATATAAACTATAACAGCATCTTTCAGTGTTTTTGCAGAATCAGAGCTTAAACTAAGCTCAGCGCTGTCACTAAGACAATAAAGGCCAGCCTCTAGCCTTTCTTTCCTCAGTGCTGCGCAGGCGAAAGGGCCCCAACAACTCTCCAGAGCCAGAGCTCTCTGCAGCCCCACAGGATCCCCTGAACTGGTTTGGAATCCTGGTTCCTCACAGTCTTCGACAGGCCCAAGCCAGCTTTCAGGATGGTAAGTAGATCTGGCTAGTTGGACATGTGGCCCTGGATTAAATTCTGCCCCTTTATCTACATGGAGCACTTTAGTACTAACACCATGTTAAGGCTTCCCAGGTTTTCTTCATTGCAAATATTTGTTGCACTCTGCCGTTTATTCCAAAAGCATTCATTGGCTGACTGCATCATTCTAGGCTCATGCTAGCCGCCAAGGATACAGCAAAGGAGCAAAAAGGATAAACTTTCCTCATGGAATGTTTATCCTGTGGAAGAGATAAAGGGATTGTACAAGTAAATAGACCTTTAATATGATGCAAAATTGTTATTAAAAATTGTGAAAATTGTTATTAAAAAAGTAACATAGGATGGAATAGAACAAGAGTGGGCTTGGGAGCTGCTGCATGAAGGGTTAGGGAAAGTCCGAGGAGATGAGGGGAAGCTCTGGGTGTTCTGGGGGAACAGTGTTCAAGTCAGAGGGGTTCTGAGGGGAGATGTGGCTTGTATGTTGAAAGAGCAGAGAAGAAGCCAGTGGGCCATAGTGGGGTTGGTGCAAGAGGAGTGCCAGGATCTGTGGGCAGGGGGACATGGCCAGGGTGAAATGACTCCTGATTAAGGACCTTGGAGGCTGTGGTATGGCTTTGAGCTGAGGATTGGGAAGTAGAACTTATAGGTTAATAGGGCTCCTTTGGGCACTGAGTGGAGACAGACTGGATGGCAAAGAGCAGAAGCAGGTGCCAGGAACAGATGCAGATGGAAGTGGGGTATGTTGAGAACCTATAAGTTTTGAGAGTAGAAGCCCCAGCATTTATGGACAGATGGATGCAGAGGTGGAGGAAAAAGAGACACCCAAGAGAGCTTATGGTCTCCACCCAGAAGCCTGGGAGGATGGAGCTGTCCTTACCTAGAGTGGGCAGGCTGCAGCATAGCAGCCAAGGGGAACATAGAAGGTTGGTGTGGGTGCGCTCTTGTGTGCTGTGTAGTGTTGGCTGATGTCCAGATGCAACTTCTGGGTTTTGTTTTGGTACCTGCTTCTGAAGTGTGGAAGAGCCTGGACTAGAGAGAGATTTGGGAATTCACTCTGTAAGCGCTGGTGTTTAAACCCTCAAGTTGTGGACACAGATGCAGACTTAAAGCTGAGATGGGATGAGATCAGAGAGGGTCCAAGAATGTGGATTCAGGAATGCAGCTACAGGACAGGGGACTGAGGAACACAACCTGGAGGGTGGGGTATCCCAGATAACAAGAGGACATGTTGCCTGGAAAGAGTGACAAGCTGTACTGCCAAGCAGGAGGACTGGGTGATGCGAAGTGCTAGATGGCAAAGGGGTTGGCAAAAGCTGCTTGGAGGTTGATCCAAAGTCTGTCACTTTCAGAAGCAAAGGAGAAAGGTGCAGGGAGAGTGGGTAAGGGCAGTGAGGAAGTGCGACGATGGAAGGAGGAAGGAAGTGAACCCGCAAGGAGGTGGTGCAATCTGAGTTTTCATTGAGATAAAGGCTGTTGAAGAAGCTTTCTGAGGAGCTGACACCTTCGCACAGATCTGAAGCATGTCAGGGTCCGGGTTCAGTAAGGTGTGGAAGTAGCCAGTGCGTGGTCACACCTGGAATGTTTTAGGAATGAGGGGGGCCCGAGGGCCCTGAAATCTTTGCAGTCCAGGGGGTGGGCTGAGGTGTCTACAACTTCCTGGCTCATATTTCATACCACGATACCATGGTGACACTTTCTCTTTCTTCTCCAGGCCTTCAGCTAGCTGCAGATATAGCCAGTCTCCAGACCCGCATTGACTGGGCTCAAAGGCAGTTCCGGGGGCTACAGGAGAAGCTCCGGCGGCTGGAGTCTGGTGCTGCCTGACTTGTTCCAAAGAGGCAGACACTGAGCACTGCTGTTCTAGATGTGGCTGCCTTATTTCAGGCCTTCTTCACAGACAGCCCCTCCTCCTCCTACCTCTGCCCCACTTACTGCCTTTCCTTAAGATGTTTCCTACTGCACGTTTCTAACTTCATAAGGTATGAAGTTTGAACAGGCCAGCTGAAGAATGTTGAAAGCCACTTCTGGAAAGCCCCTTCCATGCCTGAGTTCTCATAGGACCTACCCCCCAGGGAAGAGGTAAAGGGCTGTTCATGTAAGCCAGCAGTTGAACAGCCTCAGGTCAGTGAGCTGTGGTATTGTTTCCAGAGGATGAAACACTGTGAACAGTGGCAAGAAAGGACAAGAAGGAATGCTTCAGGGTCACCAGACCATCAGAACTAACATGGATGGGGGAAAAGACCATGCACAATTGATATATCAGGACAATATGATTCTAGTCAGTAAAAATACAGCTAGTGGTGTGGTGGTACACACCTGCAGCCCCAGCTACTTGGAAAAAGCTAAGTTGGGAGAATCACTTGAGAGCTCCAGTGAGGAATCAGCTTGGGTAGCAGTGGAATCCTATATCAAAACAGTAAAACAAAGAACCAAACAAAACCCCTGAATATATGGGCAGCCCTTGACTTCTAAACAAGGAAATAAAAGAAGATATGACTTACATTTTCAAGGAAGAAGGGACCTTTCAGATTTATAAAACCTTCCTTTATCTTTTCTGGAGTTTATCTTTCTCTCCATTTGTTGAAGAGCCAGTTATGTTCCTGCTCTGGGAACTCCTTGTTTGGCTTTTGTACTGGGTTGTTACCTTTGTAGAAGTTTCTGGCAGCTCTTTCTGTTTGGTAGGTATTCTGTAATCCTTTTTGTTCATAATAAGATGTAAGTAGTTGTTCTGCTTGTCTTTTACCTTTGTTTTTAGTGTTTAAAAATTTTTCTATATCACAAAACCATTACATCAAACTGTCGAGTAACTGAATAGCAATGTGAAAGCTTATGTTTTTAAATCAGTTTTTAAAGATGCTATATGTTTGGATTGGGGGTTATAATTAATGTGATGAAAAGGGATTATCATTTCCCTCATGAACATCTGGGTTTTTTTTGTGGGGGGGTACTGGGGATTAAACTCAGGACCTTGCACTTGTGAGACAGGCAGCACCACTGAGCTAAATAAATACCCAACCCTCATCTGTGCTTTCATTTGAGGTATCCACTGAGTTCTGTACTTAGCTTTTCTATAATGTATCTTGTATGGTGTTGGTCAGTACACCCTACTCCTGTTCTGAAATGCCATGTTCTGTATCCTCACAGTGTAAACTTAATTTTAGAGCTTCTGTTGTCCATTGGTCTTACTGTCCGTTAGTACACTGGCACCACACATTTTAATTCTTGGCCTTTGTGTTGCAGTGCAGGTAGGGGAGATGTGAACTTGTGGGAGTGTCTTTTTTGACCATGTTGATAGTTTATTTTGCAGTGCAGAAGCTTTTCAATAAGATGAGATCCCAGTTGTTGATTCTTTCTGCTAGTTCCCATACCTCATCTTTGACAAAGGAGCTGACCTTCCCCACTGGAGGAAAGAGAGCCTCTTTAATAAATGGTGTTGGGAAAACTGGATCTCAACCTACCAAAGATTAAAATTAGACCCTTATCTTTCACCATGCACTAAAATAAAATCAAAATGGATTAAAGATCTAAACATTAAAACAGAAGCACTAAACTTGCTGGAAGATAAGTTAGGCAGAACTCTTGAAGACATTGGCATAGGAAAAGACTTTATGAAATGGAAGTTTTGACAGCAACATACTTCTGGAGCTCTCTTCCCTATTGAAGTCAATAGAGTGAAGGACAGAATGTGCTGCTACTCCTCAGGGAAGGAAGACTCAACTGAGATCTTTTACTGTTTAACTGTACTTTAGAAATGGAGCAAAATCGTATTCCCTCTTGTTTCTAGTCTCTGCATGAGAGAGATAGAAGCCCATGATACTGAGTTATGTATTAGGAAATGCTGTTTGGACTAGAGATTGCCATACAATTCTGCTGTCTAAAAAAGATCTATTATCTGTAACCCTTATGCTAATTACAAACTGAGGTTATAAACCAAACACTTTTCAGAAGGATTATTGAGATTGAACTGAAATTTCATGGTCCACTTTTTTTCTGAGGCCTTTTCTGGTTTGAAGTCAGTGGAGGGGAAGACAAAATGTACAGTTACTCCTGATGGAACGCAGCTGCAACTGAGAGAGTGTACCAGTTAACCATGCTGCAGAATTGAAGCAAAAAGAGTATTCCATCTTGTTTCTAGCTCTCTGAATGATGGAGTTATAAGCACATGTCTAAGAGGCTTATATCTGTAATGGCACTTTGGACAAGAGAGTACCATACAGTTCTGCTTTCCAATAAGGGCTTGACTATCTGTATACTTTCTCCTAAGTACAACTTGATCTAACAAGGAAAAAGCACTTTTCTAATTTTTCTTCAGTTTGAACTGCAGTTTTGATGATAATATTCTTCCAGAGGCTTTTCCCCCATTGAAGTCAGTGGAGGGGAGAACTGAACATGCAATTAGTCCTCAGGGAAAGCAGCTGTAACTGAGCAGGGGTGCCAGTTTAATTCAGAAATGAGGCAAAGCAGTATTTCCTCTTGTATCTAACACTCTGTGTGACAGTTATAAGCACATATCTACAAAGCTTGTATCAGGAAGGGAAGTTTTTTCAAGAGAGTTCCTTGCAGTTCTGCTGCCCAAAAAGGGCTTGAGATCTCTAAACTTTGTGCTAAGTAGAATTTGAGGTGAGAAACCAAACACGCTGTTCAGTATGGTTCTGCAGTTTGAAATGAAGCTTTTATAGCAACATATTTCTTGAGACATTTTCCCCATTGATGTCAAAGGAGGGGAGGAGAGAACTTGTAGCTACACCTCATGGAAAGAACCTGCATCTGAACCAGTGTACTTCTAAACTCTAGGTAAGAAATGCAGCAAAAGGGTATTTCCTTTTGTTTCTAGCTCTTTGTGTGACAGAGTTATATGCACATATCTGTGAGGCTTTTATCAGGTAGGGTGGTTGGCCTAGAGTACCCTGCAGGTTTGCTTCCCAAGAAGGGCTTTTAGATTTATAAGGTTTGGGCTTAGTAGAATGGGAGATGAGAATCCAAAGACACTTCTCAGAATGGTTCTGCAGTTTGAACTGAAGTTTTCATGGCAACATATTTCCCATTTGAAGTCAAAGGATTGAGGAAAAATGTACAATTACTCCTCAGAGAAAGGAGCTGCAATAGTGCAAATGGATCAGCATACTCCATATCTGAAATGGAACAAAGGAGTATTTCTTTGTGTTTCTAGCAGTCTTCATGACTGAGTTATGTCAATATCTATAAGGCTTGTATAAGGAATGAATGGCACATAGGACTAGAGAGTGTTATGCAGTTCTGCAGCCCAAAAAGGGCTTGCAGATGTGTAAATTTGGGGTTAAGTGTAACTTGAGAGAAGCTAAGCATACTTTTCAGAATGGTTCTGCAGTTTGAACTCGTTTTGATGGAAACATTTTTCCTGAGGTTTTTTTCCCCATTGAAGTCTATGTAGGGGAGGAAAAGACATACAGTTACTTCTCAGATAAAGAATCTGCAACTGTGCCACTGTACTTATCAACTCCACTTCATTAATGGAGCAAAAGTATATTCCCTCCTGTATTTAGCTTTCTGCATACCAGAGTTATAGGCACATATATGAGTCTTGTATAAATAATGGCAGTTTGGCATAGAGATTACCATGCTTTTATGTGCCCCAAAAGAGCTTCTAGATGGGTGAAATTTGTTGTAAATAAAATTAGAGGTGAGAAGCCAAACACACTTTTCAGAATGCTTCTGCAGCTTGAAATGAAGATTTGACATAAACATTTTTCTTGAGGCCTTTTCTTCATTGAAGTCAATGGTAGAGAGGAAATAATGTGCATGCAATCCTTAGAGAAATTATCTGCAACAATGTGAACCATTATATTCCACATCTGCAGCACAGCAAGAGTATTCCCTTCAGTTTCTAGATCTCTGAATGACTGAATTATAAGCACATATCTATGAGGCTTGTATATGGAATGGCATTTAGGCCTATAGAGTGCAGTGCAGTTCTGCTGCCCAAAAAGGACTTGAAGATGTGTAAACTTTGTGGTAAGTAGAACATGAGTTGTGAAGCTAAACATGCTTCTCAGAATAGTTCTGCAGTTTGATCTGAAGTTTTGACAGCAACATTTTTCCTGAGACCTTTTCCACATTGAAGTCAAAGGAAGGGAGTAATAACTTGCAGAAACTCCACAGAGAAAAAAGCTGCTAGTATGCCAGGGTAACAATAAACTCTTCATAAATGGAGCAAAAGTGTATTCCCTCCTGTTTCTAGGTCTCTGCATGCTAGAGTTATAAGCACATATGTATGAGGCTTGTGTAAATAAAGGCAGATTGGCATAGAGAGTGCCATGCAATTCAGCTGCCATAAAAGGGCTTGGAGATCTGTAAACTTTGTGGTAAGTACAACTTGAGGTGAAAAGTGAAACATACTTTTCAGAATGGTTCTGCAGTTTGAACTGATTTTTTTACTGCAACATTTTTCCTGATGTCTTTTCCCTTTTGAAATCCATGGAGGTTACAAAAGAATGTACAGTTACTCCTCAGAGAAAGAAGCTACTACTGTGACTGGGTACCAATATACACTACATTATAAATGGAGCAAGAGTATATTCCCTATTGTTTCTAAGAGGTATAAGTACATACGTATGAGGCTTGTAGTAGTAATGGCAGTTTGGCATAGAGAGAGCCCTGCATTTCTGCTGCCGAAAAGGGCTTGGAGGTCTGTAAACTTTGTGGTAAGTATAACTTGATGAAAGAAGCCAAACACAGTATTCAGAATGACTCTACACTTTGAACTGAAATTTTCATGGCAACAGCTTTCCTGAGGCTTTTCCTCCATTGAAGTCAAATGAGGCTAAGAAAAAACATATAGTTAGTTCTCAGAGAAAGCAACTGCAAGAGTGTGAATGTCCCAGTGTACTCTACATCTGAAGTGCAACAGAAGAGTATTCTCTTCTGTTTCTACTTCTTTGAATGACTGAATGATAAGTACATATCAAAGAGGCTTGTATAAGCAATGCCATTTAGTCCTAGAGATTGCCATGGATTTCTGCTGCCAAAACAGGGCTTGGAGATCTGTAAATGTTTTCACAAGTGGAACCTCAGGTGAGAAGACAAATGCAGTTTCCAGAATGCTTCTGCAGTTTGAACTGAAGTTTTGATGACAACACTTATCCTGATGCCTTTTACCCATTGAAGTCAAGGGAGGTCAGGAAAGAACATGCTAGTGTCCCAGTGGACCAATATAATCTACTTCTTAAATGGAACAAGAGTGTAGTCTCTCCTGTTTCTAGTTCTGTGCATGACAGAATTATAAGCACATGTATATGAGGCTTGTATAAATAATCACACTTTGGCGGAGAGAGTGCCATGCATTTCTTCTGCCCTAAAAGGTCTTGTAGATCTGTGAACTTTGTGGTAAGTAGAACTTGAGGTAAGAAGCCAAACATAGTTTTCACAATGGCTCTGCAGATTGAACTGATATTTTCTTGGCAACATATTTCTTGAGGTTTTTTACCCTTTGATGTCAAAAGAGGGGAGCAAAGCATGTGCAGTTACTCCTCAAGAAAGCAGCTACAACAGTGTGAATGCAACAGTCTACTCCACATCTAGATTCAAGCAAAAAGTATTAGCTTCTAATTCTAGCTCCCTTCATGACTCAGTAATAAGCATAAATCTTCGAGGCTTGTATAATGAAAGGCATTTAGGCCTAGAGAGTGCCTTGCAGTTCTGTGATCCAAAAAAGGCTTGGAGATCTGTAAACTTTGTGGTAAGAAGAATTTAAGGTGAGAAGTGAAGCACAGTTTTCAAAATGGTTCTACAGCTTGAACTGAAGTTTTGGCAGCAATATTTTTATTGAGGCCTTTTCCACATTTATGTCAAAGTAGGGCAAGAAAGAAGGCACAGTTACTACTCAGAGAAAACAGCAGGTAATGTGCCAGCAGACCAATATTCTCCACTTCATAAATGGAGCAAGATTGTATTCCCTACTCTTTCTAGGTCACTGCATGCCACAGTTATAAGTGCACATATATGCTGCTTGTATAAGAATAGGCCATTTGGGCCCTTCCAACATCAGCCAACAAGGT